TATGTGTATTTGTGGAAGTTTGTGCATAAGAGTACAGGTGCTGTTGGAGAGCAGAGACATTGGATCCCTAGGAACTGCACTTACAGACAGTTGTGAGCCTCCTGTTGTAGGAACTGGGACCTGAAGTCAGATTCTCTTCAAGAGCAGTGTTAATACTTGAATTGTCTGCTGGGTGGAGGCAGAGGCAAGGCACTGTGAATTAGAGATTAGTCTGGTCTACAAAGATGGTCTAGGATAGCCAGACTATACATAGAAACCCTGTCTGGGGATGGGGAAATGGATTTTTCTCTTGCCGGCTGTGGTGGCTCAGGTAAGTGGCTCTCTTGAGTTCAAGGCCTGCCTGGCTAGTCAGAGCTATACAGAGAAACTCTATATGGGGGAGAAAAAAAAGGTTGATGTGGTGGGACTTTTCTCTCAGCCTGGCAGTGGTGCCACACGCCTTTAATCCCAGCAATCAGGAAGGCAGAGGCAGGTGGCTCTGTGAGTTAGAGGCCAGCCTGGCCTATAGAGTGAGTTCTAGGACAGCCAAGGCTACACAGAGAAACCCCATCTCAAAACAAAACAAAAATAAGTAGAGCTGTTTGGATTATGTAATTTTGGACAGTTTATATCTTGTGCCCTATTTATGCAACAGGTAATGTTTCTTGACTTGTGTTTGCTTTGGTTTTAGCTAGTTTTTAATATTTATTTTGTTTATATAGTTATGTGAACATGGCTGTGTCTAGGGCTTTACGCTGTGCCTGCAGAGGTCTGAAGAGGACATTGGATCCCGTGGAGCTGGAGTTACAGGCAGTGTGAGCTACATGATTTGGGCGCTCAGAACCCAACATGGGCCCTCTCATGTATAATATGCTTTTAACCACTGAACCATTTTTCCAGTCTCCTAGTTTTGTTTTTTCAAGACAGAATCTCAAGCACTAAACTTTTGATCTTTATGTCTCTGCCTGAATTACTGGCTCATGCTCACATTTGTTTTGAACCAGCACCTCATTGTGTATCCCAGGCTGACTTCAAAGACAATCCTCCTGCCTCCTACCTTCTCTCCTTCCCTTCCTTCCTTTTTCCTTTCTTTCTTTTCCTCCCTCCCTCCCTTCCTCCCTCCCTCCCTTCCTTCCTTTCCTTCCTTCCTTCTTCCTTCTTTTAGAAAAAGTCTCACTTTGTAGACTGTGCTACCTAGAATATTGTTCTAGGACTGTGTAGTCAGGGCTTATTGCCTCAGCCTTTCTTTGTGTTTGTTTGTTTGTTTTGTTTTTTTGGTTTTTTCAAGACAGGGTTTCTCTGTGTAGCCTTTGCTGTCCTGGACTTGCTTTGTGGACCAGGTTCATCTCGAACTCACAGAGCTCTACTTGCCTCTGCCTCCTTGGGTGCTAGGATTACAGGCTTGAGCCACCAAGCCTGTAAAATTAAGTAGGTCATTTTTATATTCCACTTTCTTTTTTTTTTTTTAAGATTTATTTATTATTTATACAACATTCTGCCTGCACATAAGATCTTACTATAGATGGTTATGAGCCATCATGTGGTTGCTGGGAATTGATCTCAGGACCTTTGGAAGAACAGTGAGTGTTCTTAACCTCTGAGCCATCTCTCCAGCATGCTATATTCCACTTTCTTGACTGCTTTATATGTGTGGTGATTTTTATAGTATGTAGTGTAAATGATTGTAGAAACTGAATTCTGCCTCCTGATTAAAATACCAGCAACTCAGTGTGACTTTTTTGGAGCCTTGGCCTTACCTCTGAAAATGATGGGTGTCTTTCCGTTTTAGCAATATACCTAAAGCAAATCCCTTAAACCTAGAACACTTTGTTCATCTCAACTCCTGATCATCTCTGTGTCTGAGATCCTTTTTACATTCCTCTACATCCCTCCGATGAGGTAGGAATAAAACTCCAAATTCTTACCTGTTACTTATGGCACAGGCTGGAGTCTTGGCTCAGATCCCTCAGCCTTCCAGCTGTTCTTTCCATTGGAATTCTCAGTCTCCCTTAATGTATGTCATTTGGGGCTTACACATGGATTTGAGGAGAATTGAAATGTATTTTCTGAGCCCTTCCTTTCCCAGTGGTTCGCTCCTCTGTGGGTTTTCTCTTCTCATTTGCTAGCCACTGTGGCAGTTCTGAACTCTGTTGTTTGATGGTTCAACCCAGTCAATGGTGGCTTCTTAGTGTTGTGTCCACCTTCACCTGGCACTGAGTGGGCTGTTGCCCGTTTCCAGGGGAGATACAAACATTTCACACAATGACTGCTTTTCACCTCCACCCGATTTGCCAATCTTCATTGCCTCACATAGCTTCAAAAATATTTTCCTTTACTTAAGCTATCCAAAGGAGGGTTAATTTGTTGTAACATTTCTGCCATTATTGTAATCAGAATTCCTTTGTTGTGTTTCCTTCCTGCATGCCCCTCTTTCATATGGTCTACGTACCCTATCCTATGGACCACCAGCCATTTCCTGGAAGAACCAAAATTCTTTGCCTTAACGTTTTAGTTTATTAATTCATGTATATTTTTAAAACATTTTATAAGAATAATTTTAATGGGGACCAGAGAATTATTTCAGGGATTAAGATCACCTAATGCTCTTGGAGAGGACCTAGGTTCAGTTCCCAGCATCCACGGGGAGATTTACAGCTGTCCAAAACTCCTGTTCCAGGGGTTCAGCTATATTCTTCTAGTTTCTTCAGGCATCAGGCACATATACACATGCATTACATAGGTATACATGCCGGCAAACCACTCATACACATAAAATATTTTAAGTACTTTTCACATATGTTGAAATAATTTCAATTTAAATGACAATAAAACAAAACCTTTCAACATGCTCTCTGACCTCAGAGACAGACAGACAGACAGACACACACACACACACACACACACACACACACACAAATAAATTAAGCTTTAAAAAAAAATTTGCCTTCCAGACAGTCTTGATGTAGCCAGCCAGGTTGGCCTCAGGGCATTACTGTCCTGAATCAGCTGCTGATGTGCTGGGTTTGTAGGTGTATCCACCAAGCTAGCGTGCCCGAGTGTTGTGGTGTGGTTCTGGGGATTGACGCTTGAGCTTAGTGCATGCCAGGCCAGTGTGTGGTCCACTGCTGAGTTACAGCCGCAGCCTTTCTTGGTTTTGGTGAATGTTCTTGGAGATGTGTTAGAGGGAAGCGGAGTAAAGGAAGGGCTTGTCTGTTTGTTTTTAGATCTTTGTAACTTAAGTAAATCTGAAACTTATCATAATTCATGAAATAAGGCTTTTAAAATTCATGTAAAGTGATTGTGGCTTAATTGTTGTCACCTTAATTCCAATACAAGTATTTATGTTGGTTCTCAAAAAGACCATTCCCAGGCCAGCAGTGTCAGCAGGTCCTCCTGGTGATTCTGCTGCATTCACAAGTGAGAGCATGGTCTACAGATTCTATACTAGCCACAGCAACTGTGGATTGCAAGTACCATCAGGAGGCTGGAGCAGGAAGGATTGCTGCAAGCTTGAGCACAGCCAGGACTCTATCGTGAGATTCTGTCTCAAGGGTGGGGAGGTGGCTAACTGGGGGCTGGAGAAAGCTTAGAGGTTAAGAGCACTGACTGATTTTGGAGAGGGCCTAAATTTGATTCCTGGCACCCAGGTCAGACAGCTCACAACTACGAGCATTTTTAGCTCCAGAGAAATCTGACAAATCTAGCCTTTGTGAGCACCAGTACAGGTGGACACAATCAAACACAAGTACATATACACAATTAAAGATAAAGTAAATCTCTTTTGAAAAGAGAATGCCTTTTTAAAGAAGGCTTTGCAATGGCATGCACCTGTAATTCCAGCTCTCAGGGAGGCTAGACTGGTATAGAGTGAGTTCCAGGGCAGCCAGGGCTACTAAGAGAAACCCTATCTCGAAAAACAAGAAGAAAAAAACCTAAAACAACAATAAAAGGCTAAAGAGTAAATTTATTTTTCTCATCTATATTGGCCAGTTATTAATGCCTCTCTGGAGCTGGAGAAATCCTTAGTGTTTAAGAACACTGCTGCTCTTCCATCTAGAAGAGTGCTCACAGAGTGCTACATAATGAACTCCAGTCCAAGGGGCATCTGATGCCCTCTTCTGGTCTCTGTGAGCATTGCACTCATGGTACACATACATACAAACAAAACACTCAAACACATAAAATAATTCTATTTTAGTCCTTAAAATATAATGCATTTAGTCATGCACGGGTTGTGCATATCTTTAATCTCAGCAGGATACAAAGGCAGGTTGGATCTCTGAGTTACAGGACAGCCAGGGCTACACAGAGATACCCTGTCTGGGGGGGGGGGGGGGCAGTGAAAAAAAATTTTTTTTCTCGAAGCACCCACATCAGCTCACAGCTGTCTGTAACTTCAGGATCTGACACCCTCTCATAGACTTGCATGCAGACAAACCACCAATGCACTTAAAATAAATAAATCAATTTAAAAAAATATTGTCACCATAAAGGAAGTCTGTAGTAAAGCCAATATTGTATCCATTTCCTAGAGTTCTCTTTTTTATTTTCTTCTAATTAGGCTCCCAGCTATACTTTAGACCTTCTCTTTCTTTCATTCTCTTTACTGTTGTTGTTGTGGTTGAAAACAAGGTTTTTAAGACACAGTACCACTGTGTTGCCCAGGCTAGTTTCAGAGTTATAATCTTTCCACTTTGCCCTCTACAGTGCTGGGACTATACCACATCTGTTTAAAGTTTGCATTTTAAAATATGTTGTATATCCAATGCTTTCCTGCCTCCCATTCCATACCATGAGTTCACTGCTCACATACTTGCTTGTGGGCACACAACTGGCTTTTATGGGCTCTGTCCGTTCCTCTTCCTTTCTACGTGGTCCCTCAGCAACTACAAATCTAAGATTTACAAGTAGCATTGTATGTTGATTTAGAGAAATAAAAGAGAGTTTGACACCTATGTATGTCAGTATTTCAGCATCTCTAAAAACAAATGATTTTTTTTTCTTGAAAATTGTCTCTACAGACTTACAACAGCTGTGCCAGGCTCTGCATAAACCAAGAGACAGTATGTCTAACAAGCACTGCTATGAAGACTGAGAATTGCGTGGCCAAAGTAAGTGACAGTGTTTACCAGTTAATATTATACCACATTGCAACAATGCTGCGTCTGTAGGAATCTTTACTCATTGGTGCTACTACAGATGATAATAAGATCAGTTGGAACAGTCTTTTTATTATCCAGTCGCAGTGATCAGTGAGATTTGTAACTTCCTCCTGGATTGTTTTTGTTGTTCATTTAGTTGGTTGGGTTGTTTGTTTGTTTATAAAGAGAATCAGTTTCTTGTGACATTTTGTCAGGCATGGTGGCACATGCCTTTATGCCCAAGCAATTGGGAAGCAAAGGCTAGCCTGGTCTACAGAGGAAGTTATAGGACAGCCAGGGCTATATAGAGAAACCCTGTCTCTAAAAACCAAAGCAAAACTCAAGAGAAATGTCACTTATGGTGATTTTAACTGGAAAAGTATTTTTACTTTGTCCACATAGGCTGTCTCTCATGTATATATGTGTGTTGTATCTCTAGATTCAGAAATAATATTTAAAATTAGAATTCTTCAGAGCTGGAAAGATAGCTGAAGAGCACTGGCTCATCTTGTACAAGGTCGAGGTTGAGTCTCCAGCAGCCATGCGATGGCTCACAACCTCCTGTAACCAGTGTCATCTGCTGGCCTCTGAGCGCTGCAAGCATGTGGCACATAGACATACCTACAGGCAAAGCACCCGCACTTAGAAAATAATTTTTAAAAAGAAAGAAAATTATCTAGCGATCATAAATTTTTTCTTTCAATTTTTTTTGATTGATTTATAGGGAGCTTTTTTAAAATCAGCTTTACTGTCTCAAGGATAACATTCCTTTATGGGCTGTACTTCTTGATTTTTTTTTTTTTTTTTTTTTTTTTTTTTTTTTTTTTTTTTTTTTTTTTGGTAAAGGTGACCTATACCAGTTAGGATTTTATTGTTTTACAACTTTCAGCTTAATCTATTGTCTTTCATTTACTATTAGAAATAGGAATTTATATCATGTGGATTCCAGCTTATAGAATTCAAGAAGAGCTGTCTTACTTCTTTTGGGTTATTACAACAAAATATAAACAGTAGCTTATAAACAATAACTTATTTTTTATACTTCTAAATATAGGCATAGACTTTTTAACAAACCTACTTTATTTAGGGCTCTTAAACGATTCTACCTCCCTTCCACCACCACCCCACTCCCAAACACTGGATAGGAGAGAAAGAAGATGAGTAGGGACAGAAGCCGGAGTTCTCTTTGCTTCTCTTTTTGCTGGGTGGGGTGTAGGTATTTTTTGGGGAATGGTTTTCAGGAAATCCAGAGGTCCAGGTAACCAGCAAGTCAGCAAACAGCAAACGCAGCAACAGGATGAACCAGCAGCAAGCTGTCCTCCTCCAAGCATCTACCCCTTCTTTCTCTGGGCTGTCACATTTATACCCTCAAAGTCCTCAGAATTCAGCTAATTCTACCTGGTAAAGACCATGTTCCACACAAGACACTTAAAAGGCATGGACAAACTAAAATCCTCAACTTGAAATTACAACAAAAACATGTTAACATATCATAAAGTAAAAGGTCCACAACATCTAGAAGCTGGGGAGATGATTTTGATAATCAGTTCAAGTCTAGTTGAACGTTTGCTCTTCATGGAGCCTTGCTATAGGCTCAGGATGAAAGGGATGAGGCAAGATCTCTGGAATCTCCTACTAACCCATTCCCTTGTTTATTTATAGCTTAGGACTCTAATTCTGTTAATGAAGACTGTTCTCAGACATTAGGTGGTTAGGGAGGAACACAATCATTTAGGACATAGTAGCAATATAATTTTTATGCTGTTTCCTAAAACATATGGTAATATATGACTGTATTATTAGCGGAAAACATATTACATATAGCCATTGGAATTAAACATAAGAAATGTCAGATTCTATTTTAATTGTAGTTGCAAAAGGTAGTTTCATCAATTCTGTCACATCTTAATTTGCCAAAAAAAAAAAAAATGAGGATTAATATAAGTTACATTTAATTTTCAGTTACCTAGGAACAACTTGCAAGTGGCACTTGACCCTATTTTATATCTAGCATTGATGTATGGAGACAGAGGTGTAAAAGAAAGTGTTTTTTTTTTTTTTTGTTTTGTTTTGTTTGTTTTTTTTTGCACCTTTTTTGGACATGCTGCTCTCTTTCATCACAAGTGAGTTACTTCTGGCTAAACAAGGCAAAATCTTAGCATGAGCACCAATCCAAGGACAGGGCGTCAAATTAATGAGTTTCATTGAGAGCTAGCCAACTGAGCATCTGTTCCTTTTGTTTTTTTTTTTTGTTTTGTTTTGTTTTGTTTTGTTTTGTTTTGTTTTCTGTAGTCGATAAGCCAGTATTTCTAAACTCCTTAGTTGTGCTGCTGTGTGTCCGTGTAGTGTGTGGGGGTTTGTTTCTTTCTTTTTCCACCATCTACTTCCACAGTTAGAAATCTTCTGGCATCTGGCACAGTAGTGTAATTTCTTTCATGCTCTTGGGTGAGGAAATAAGTTTGCTCGTTGCTGCTCATCAGTCTGTTTCACTTGGTTACAGATGGTGACCTTCTCATCCTATTCCTGCTTGTTTTAACATTATTCTGACACCTATTTTCTTTCACTGTCCCCTTAACCACTCTAATTGAATAAGGATTTTTATAATTTCCAGTTGGAACACAACCAACTTCCTGGTTCTTTTTATTGGCCCACATCCTGTCTTCTACTTCATCGTCAAATAAAAATATGTAACTGAAAAAAATATTTACTGCACTAGCTTCCACTAGCATGACAACAGTGAGTTGTCCTTCCTTGTTGCTGAACGTGTTATATCTGTCTCATGATTTCACGTCTCTCCTGGCCTCATTTACTACTTGACCTTTGAAAGAAATGACTCAATTTTTGTGGACCTGTAGGCATTCTCTGTTTCGTTCTCTTCACCTTTAGTTCTTAACAGTGGTTTTATCTGCTGTGCTGTTGTGGCTATGATGGCTTCCTTTTAGAGCTTGGCACAAGTGCGCTCCAGTGTGGCCTGCGTGTCCAACTGTCTTTGTGCAAGAGCCACTGTGATACAGTGAAGCCAGCCCCCACCCCACTTTTTTTTTCCTTATAGTTCAGAGCAGCTGAATTCTAGTCAGAGTAATTTTGGTTTTGATGTAATTGTAGTCTTAAACCATTTTATTAAATATTATTTGTTTGCATTTTACAAACGACATTGGTCCTTCTCAAATGCAGGAATGACCCCTGTCATTTTGTATTTTGGGTGTCGCTCTTCTCTGCCAGTTAGTTCCTGAAGCATGAAGTGTCTAGTACATAGCTTGCATTTGGGTTGTTGGGGAGATTGTTTTTTTGGTGTCTCTGTCTGTCCCATGTAGCTCTGGTTACATGGCCTAGGCTGGCCTTGACCTCACAGAAATCCACCTGCCTCTACCTCCCAAGTGCTGAGCTTGGAAGGCATGCACCACCACACCCAGCTAGTTTCCCTTTTAAACCATCTCATCTGCTTACCACACTGGAGTTTATGATATTTGTTTGGAGATGATGGGCTCTATATTTATTGTAGCTTTAAATGAACAGTCATTACTGACTGTCAACTTAGTCTCTAAAATCCATAATCACATTGTACCTAATTGTCAACCTTCATTCTTTTTAATTATCAAAGAAAACCGAGAACATTAATTTTTATGTTATCTTTCTATTGACTTTATTGAAGTACTACAGAAAATTTTGGTTTTCCCTGATTTACCATTACTCTCCACACCCCTTCCATAAACATATACAGTTAAAATTGAGCTGTCCGGACACTTCTCTCTACCTTAGACAGGGGAAGCTCTGTCTTTGTTTGGAATAAGCCCATTTAGTGGTCTTGTGTACATTTTGTATTTTTGTTGTTTTCACTGTTTTTTACTTGAGACTAATAATCTGTTTGAAACTGAGACAAAAAAATGTAATGTTCCTTTCCACTCACTTCAGATTTTGATAGAAGACTTGTTTTATTTATTTCCAAAATTATATCCGCAGGAAACAAGCTGTTTAAATTCAGATTATGCTGAAGCAAAATGGTCCTGGTATGAGAAGCAACGTGCTGTTTTACGAGCACAGAGTCCCTTTTCTCATAACTGATTGATAGTAAATATTTTCCTGAAGAATTATTGCCATCCATGAACAGTGCAACTGTTTCACTTTTTTTCCATGCTACTTGCTGTACAAGCCATTGTCGGTAATTAAGATCTACAATTCACAATGCAGACGTTTGCACTTCCTCTGGGTCTGTGCTATTTATAAGGCATTTCAGCTGTTCAGAGTTTCTTCTGAGTTTTAAACTACATGTTAACAGGCTTCTTTAATATACTGCTCCACAAGTAGCAAATCATACGCCTGTTGTTCACACAAGCCTTTCTGAAAGCTCTGCAGTAGTGACCACAGCACGATGTAACTGTATCATCAACGCCACTGTGATTGGGAAAACTCATAAGTATAATGCTGTGTGAAGAAGCCAGGAATGAAATCCAGAATAACCTGTTTTTTTCTTTCACATTTAAATCATCCATGAATTTAATATGATAATGATTAGGTTTTAAGAACTACACAAGCAAGTGACTTATTGGCTAGAATCTGTGCATTTGTCAAATTAATGTGGAAATATATTTTCTCTAGTTGTGCATGTCTTTTTGTCTCAAAAGACTTGAGACAAAATGGATTAACACATTTGCTGTATAAGAGAAACCTTAAGTAGCACATACTGTTGATAAGGAAAGCGTCAACAGAGATGTTAGTCTGTGTTACAATTGGTCAGAATCAAATTGTTTTAAGTCCAAAAAAGAATTGATTTTAAAGAAGTCCAGACCCATCCAAGAATCTTCATGAATGATGCCCTAGACTCAGTAACTCTGCAGTCTTTTTGCTACAGGCACTCATTGTTAAACATACAAGAAAAAGAAACAAGAAACTGAAAACTGTCAACAAAATGTGTTTAAAACTTTGCCTAGAGAGGAGCTCAGCCTGGTTGATGTTTGCCTGGAGTCCAGCTG